ACAACATGCGGCAAAGACTCGGACTGCTTTGCCCGGCCTCTCCCTCCTGCCAGCCCAGGGAAAGGCCCAGGTTTTGCCCCTGCACCAGGGCACTGCCTCCAGCTGCTCAGCTTACAGACCAACTCCACTGGGAAGCCTGGACACAGTCTGCTGCAGCCCAGGAGTGTCTCATCTCGAGCAGGGCAGCAATCTGGGCAAGAGGAAGCCACAGGAAAGCTTGGGTTCCTGGAGATTTGCTTTGTTTCCTTTCATCACACCACGACAGCACCAAGCTGAAGCTACTGTGGGGCTCTTGCAACCACTGCTCTGTGGAAGGACCCTGGCAGCACCCAGGTCCACAGAGCCCTGACCCCAGCAGTGAAGAGCAGATCCTCACCCCAAGCTCTGCTTGAGTGTGCTCTGTTTGATGTCATACAGACCGCAAAGCACTCAGAGCTCCAGCCCTTCCCTCCTCAGTGCAGCAGGGAGCCAGCTACCCCAGAGAGCCTGTCTGCGTGAGCCCACTGGCCATGATCACGCCTAGGCTACCTGGGTGCAGCTCAGCACATGCTCTAGCCCAGGCTCAAAGGGCAGAGGGCAATAGTGCTGGCAGGGGAAGAGGGGCAGTCCTGGACTCCAGGGACGGCAGAGGAGGGTGTTACAGTGCTCGTAGAGGGCATGGCAAAAGTAAGCAGCCCCTGCCAGAGGCAAGGGGAAGGAAAAGCAAAGCCTGGCAGGAGTTAGCTGGGATGCAAATCCTCAGAAGCTGCAAAGAGAAGAGTAAAACCAGAAGGATGGTGGGAAGGTCTTGTCTGAGGCCATGCTGCACTGCTGGGATCCTAATTCACCACCACCACCCTAAGGCTGGGCTAGGGTGTGCCTCTCCCTTCTGGGTTCAGGACTCCTCTCATTGCCCTGCCAGGCATGAGCCAGCTGCTTGGTATATGGTCTTCACAGCATCTGAAGCCATGTTACAAGCAAAAGGAAAGTTTCAGGAGGAAAGGAGGAGCTGGGAGCCTCTGCATGGGATGCAAGATGCACCTTTGCCTTGGGAAGAGGAAAGGCCCAATTCCACAGGAACAGCCACATCAGGTGGACAGACCCGATGCAACAATACTTGGGCATGGGGAAAAAGGCCTTTTTTGCACCTGGGAAAAAGGAACAAACAGACAGAGCACAAGACCTTCAGGGTGAGCTCTGAGGGGGCTGTGAGCACTCCCGGGAGATGCCGGGCTGCTCCATGCTGGGGTCTCTTTGGCACTGCAGCAGGCCCCATTGGCAACCCACATCACATGGCTGCCATACAGGGGGAGGATGCTGCTGCCCCAGCCCAGAAGTGTGGCACGGAAGCTGCCAGCTGTGAGGGACGTCAGGGAGCCAGGACTTTCACCCACTGACCCTTTCTAGCATGCAGGGAATGGGTCAGCTCTTGTGAGACTCAGCTAATGCATTCCCAGATCAAGCCAGAGCTGCTCCCACCAGCTCTATATCCCACCCGTACTCACATCAGCAGCAGTCAGGGCACATCCCTCTGCAGGATGTTGGGGCAGAGGGGTGGGCAACTGCCCCACTGCTGTCCTGCACCAGGCTGAGGGCCACAACATTAGTCCTCTCTGGGAGGACAAACGTGGTCCTGAGCACCTCGTCAGGGCTGCAGGCAGGGCAGTGTAGTGCTACAGGCTGAGCTAGACCAGCCTCATCAACTCCTGCCTTCATTGTGGAGGCAGGTCCCAGCTCCAGGAGGACAACTGGATGGAGCTGGTGCCCTCTCCCATCCCTTTGAAGAGCAGCTGCTGCTGCCATCTCCAAGTCAGTCCACAGCTCCTCACTGATAGTCCTGTCCGCTTCCACAGGCTCTGCAGAGATCCTCCAACACGGACGACATAGATGTGAACACAGACACATGTATGTACTCACAAACGCATTCACCCCACAAGTCAGAGTGGCGTTGGCTTGACACATAGCTGGACACGAGGTGCCACAGCAAAGCCGCTGGCCTGGCAGTTTTGTCTCTTCAACAACTGATGGCAACAAAATGTCCACTCAGGACAGGTGAAGAATCAGGCCGATGCCACATCCTGCTACCCAGGTGGCTCCCAGTCTGCAAGCCCCATGAGATCCCCAGTCTACAAGGCTATACCTACAAGACAGAAATGAAATGTGGGACCTACCAGGACCAGCTGCCAGCACCCAAACCTCGCATGCAGGGTACACTTCAGCCACAGCCACCACCCCTACCTTGTGGATCTGTGGCGGAAGCTCATCCTCCGAGCTCTCCTCTGGCACGGGCTCTGGGTGTCTTGCTGACTGCCCATCCTCAGCCCATCCTCCCAGAGGGAGGCGGGAGAAGTGTGATGGGGCTCTGTGCACTGTGCCTGGGTCTGCAAGTGAGGCCAGAAGGAAGATTAGCTACCTGGGGGACTGCCAGTGTCCAGCAGCAGGCAGGCTGCTCGTGACAGTCCACAGAGAGCATCAGTTATGGGGCTCTGACCTGAGCTCAGACCTCTGCCCTGGTGCTGTTACCTGTGATACCACCATATCGCCGCTGGAAGCCAGTCTGCAGTGTGGCTGTCTCCTCCGCAGGCTGCCGTGGCGAGGAGAAGGGGTAGCTGGCAGAGCGAGGAATGGGGACAGGGCCACCCCGCTGAGCATCCAGCTCCTCATGGGCACTCTCCCCGCTCTCATCGCTCTCCCGTCGGTGCCAAGTGTGTCGCTCAGGCTCCAGCTGGGCATGCTGCTTGTGCAGCTGCAGGCCAAAACACGAGTGACTCAGCTGTGTGGGAGAGCCCAGACGCCCAAACACACCCTCTCCACAACACTGCACACACACTGGTCTCCTGGTCACACCAGACAGGGCAGCCCAGTCCTGCCTGCCTCGCTCCACACCCTTCTGGCTAGCCCAGCTCTGGGCTGCTCACCTCATGCATGTAGAGTGCGTGAAGACTCATCTCAGTGGAGGCGTACTCCGACAGGATCATGCTCTGCAGCTGACCCTCCCAGGCGCTACTGCCAGAGCTCACGGTCCTCGCATCGGCACTGCCATGGGACACACAAGTGGTGTTTGCTGCCCAGGTGCCCCCACACCACCCACCCCTCTCCACTCTAACGTCAGGCTCACAGAGATCTGCTCCTGGACAGGGCAGGAACAGGCCCTCCACAGGATCACCCAAATTCACAATGTGACCAGCCCTGCTATGTCACTGC